TAATAGATAATTCTATAATTGATAAAATCAAATGAGACCTAATAAATGTTTGTAATAGCTTTCTATGGTTAGTGAAAACAAAAGAACAAAAAGAAGAAAAACAGTAGCATTGCTAGGATTTTATTGATAACAAAACTTAGTTGTTTAAGAATGCTGGTCAAATTGTTTTCTTTCCTGAGCTAAACGTGCTATTTTGTTGTATTTACATTAGTGAGCTTCTTATTTGCATTTCAAGTGTTATTGGACATGTAAACAAGTTATTGGCAGAATTAAAATTTTATGAATTGTTTTCAGAAAAAAAAAAGACAAAATCGATTCTTGTTTACAGTTTTATGTTCTTCATACCCATTATTAAATATGTGGCATACAATTGACATTGTTGCAGATAAAATTAAATTATTTTATATATGTGCTATTTGTGTTACTATACTCATCGTCAGGTAAATATTTTAGTTTTCACACTGGCCAATTAAATTCATTCTTTCAGAATCTCATGTCACACTGTGCTTTTTATCTGTTCGTAGTCATCATTGTTATATTTTGAGTGTAGCTAACAAAACTTGATTATATTTGAGAAATTGAGTTTCAGTCCAGTTAACTTTTACCTTGTAGAATGCATTTGCAATGTCTGGGTCAACTAAAATAGTTAGATTGTTGTTTGTATTTTATTTTATATATTTTAGGTTTTTAATTAAAATCAAAGACAAGTGTAGAAAAGGCGTAATTTTGAATTTGATCTCTTTGAATTTTTACGCCATGTAATCTATTCCAGAGATAGAACTTTGTCTAGATTGCAGTCGCCTTATCATATGTCACTTTTTATTTTGTTACCCATTATTCTTCGATGCAGCTAACTTTAGCAAAAGGTTTATGACATCCAAATTGATAAGCAAACACACAATATCACTTGATGGTTATTATATTGCTTTATTGTTAAATTCATGAAAAAATTGTATTACTTATTTAATATCCTTTAAATTCAATACCGTGCAGCTTTGTGCAACCATTTATATTGTGTATTTAAAGAAAAAATTATTTTATGCTCACGCTGCCACTTTCGCCCTGTCTCTGAGCCTGCGCTTCCTTTTCGCTCAAGGTACAGACTAAATGAATCTGTTTGATCCTTAAATTTAAAACTGTAACTGTTATTAAACATTTCAGCAAAATCGTATCAGTTCTATCTGATCTGTAAATCAATAAGTCAATCATCTCTTGAGTTTATGGAGTCCCTGGACCCTCCTTCAGATTTGTTCCTAACGGCTAATTGGGAAGTTGTCGCTGTTGGTTTGTTTTGTCATATTCGCCTAGTTGTCGTTATATCATTTTAATTACACGGATGAGTTTACATTCTATTTGAGCCCCTATAATGCTAGAGCTTCAGAAGTAATTAAAGGTGTTGTGCAATGAGATTGTCTCCGGATATTTAAGGTGCATCATATTTCAGTATTTAATGTAATCTAAAATAATATATCATATCATTGTCGTTGATTCGAGCCCAATTATAATGTGATACTAATTTAATAAATTGAAGAAGGGATGCAGGTAAATACAGATAACAGATATGCATTTTTTAATTACCATTCGTTTCTCCGTAACGGTTTCAAAAATAACCCAATGTCAGCTGTATTAGAAGAAGTAATATGTATCCTGTTGACACTGTAAAGAATTCATCAAAACAAATTAATAATTGTATATACATGCATCCACGCATATACACATGTTGATTGGAAATTGATTAAGTATAAGTGTGTAGTTTTGATCCAGCTATACATGCAGCAATATCTTTACTAAAATGCTTAACGTTTACTAACTTCATTTTGAATGATCTGACTGTTTGACTATTAAAATGTCAGCCATTTTAGTATTTGTGCCTGAAAAAAAATGAAAATACGCATTTATATGTATTTATGTAGTCACTTTTTTGTTCTAGGCAATTCCTTGCAGTTTAATTTGGTTAAGAAGTACAATATTGAGCCTTTTACAACATAAAGATATAATTCATGAATAAATTATTTTTACTGCCATCTGAAAAACAAGTAAAATCATGTTTCTGTTTGTTTCCATTTTAAATTTACATGTTAAATTTTACGTTTTCTGTTCGTTCATATTTCAAGTGTTGTCCTTACGTCTGAACGTACTCAAGCTTCTCAAACGAAACGCAATATTGAAATATCAGAAGAAACATGATGCGACAATTTAGAAGAATAAAAAGGTCTGTTATCAATTCAGTTTGCTCTACATATAATATCCCTCTTTAATATATAATATGTTTCCTAATGCACCTTCCTGTAGCAAGATTAAGCAGGGTTGAGATTGGATTTAGCGAATACAGTTAAACACTTTGCTAAATGAAATGTTTATTTTTTTAATCTAACTGAACGATGAACGAATCCGACAACACAAATGTGAACAAGGTTGATCAGAGTATTTGGATTTATACACAGGTATGAACGATACATGATTGTAACAACAAGAGTGATTTATACACAAGTAACACGATACATGTTTGTAACACCAAAAGTGATTTAAGTATTTGGATTTATACACAAGTAACACGATACATGTTTGTAACACCAAGAGTGATTTAAGTATTTGGATTTATACACAAGTATGAATGATACATGATTGTAACACCAAAAGTGATTAAAATATTTGGATTTATACACAGATATGAACGATACATGATTGTAACACCAAGAGTGATTTAAGTATTTTAATTTAAACACAAGTATGAAAGATACATGATTGTAACATCTGGGGTGATCGATGTATTTAAAATATTAACCACAATTTAGTCTACGTGTTTGTGGTGCGGAATGAGTTGCAACAGGTCAGCAGATGACATTTCCCAGCATTTTACAGTCCTAAGTTTTCATTCCATCGTGATTCATACATTAGACCGTCGACAGTATCTCAATTTATGTCATTGTAAGATAAATACTTTAATACCTTCATGAACTATCGATGTAATATTTTCTAGGTATTAAAAACAACACCAGTACAGGCTGCATGTGTTACACACAGTCTTCTAGGTGTCAGAGATTATTCCGTCCAGCCTTCAGAGTACCGGTAAATACGTAAATCCTCAGACCTTGTTAGGAATAGTAACTGTCAGCTGTATACTGCTACGGTTCTACAGGCATGTATTAAACTTTGACTGGCATGTAGCAATTAGTCAATTTTCAGTTTATCTCTCAATATTTGTGTGTGTGTGTGTGTGTGTGTGTGTGTGTGTGTGTGTGTGTGTATGTGTGTGTATATATATATATATATATATATATATATATATATATATATATATATATATATATATATATATTTATTTATATATATATATATTTATATATATATATATATATATATATAAAGAGAGAGATATCTCTCCTGTCATTAAAACATGTAAATTCACAGGTTTTATTTCTAAATAGAAACATTGTTTACACATACAATGTCGATTATATATATATATATATATATATATATATATATATATATATATATATATATATATATATATATATATATATATATTTCTTTTTTATAACGTTGTTTCTGTCGTCCGCCTTGAAAAATAAAGGGTCCAAAAGCGCTGACAATTTCTCAGACTACACAGTGACTTTTCCTGTCTGTTTTCTCCCTTGCTCCCTACATCCTTCCTTCCATACCCCTTCTCTGTGTCTCTCTTTGTCTGTGTTCTGTCTGTCTCTTAATTAACTTGTTAAAAATTACCAGACATTGAAAACAGGGTCAAGTCAGAATGTTTGGCTGCAAGTGGAAAATACATCTTGGATTCTGTGCCATGTTTTTGGGGTGGGGGTGGGGATTAGGTTTTCACTATCGTCTGAGATAGCAATACAGTCGTGCGTAATCATATGGACATAGTCCTAGATTTTGTTTTCCGAATTCACAGTAGTCTCTTCATTCACATAGTCTATCCGGGTGTGATACTACTACTACTACTACTACTACTACTACTACTACTACTACCTCTACTACTACTACTACTACTACTAATAATAATAATAATAATAATAATAATAATAATAATAATAATAATAATAATTAGAAAAAGAAGAAGAAACAAAGAAAGAAGAACGAACGAAAATAAAAATATGTAAGTAGAGTAACTGTAATAATTCGCTATTGTAATTCCCGTGTTTGTTGTTCTGCATTTTTCAATACCAACCCAAACCTCAACTCTTCCCATATATTTACCCCATTTCCCTAACAGTGACAAATGAGTCATATTTAAAAAATCCGTCATGATAATATCTTCCAAGTTTGACTGTATATGAAATAATTGTTAGAGAATGTTGAAAAATATCAATGTAAGTGAACTTTTATCTACATTTGATCTTTACCCTCCACCCCAATCATCACCCTATCGTCCAAGAACATCAGGAGGAGTCGCAAAAAGGACAATATTCATGCTGATCATACCACATTTAAAATGCAGAAACAAAGTTTCTTAAATTCTCGCCCAGCATTAGATTGGAAATATCAATACGCCTTACATTTAAATAGAGGGAGGGGAGGGATTTAAGCTGGAGGAAGAATAAATTTATGAAATCTAACAATCTCAGACGTTTTGAATAATCCCGTGTGTCGTATTAATTTTTGATAATATACCAACACATTAAAACAAAATATCAAGAAATTATTTGCAAACATTCCGTATTTTTCACTAATATTATATATCGTGGATGATGTTTTGCTTGTGGAAGTTTTTGGGGGCTAATGGCGATGACGACGAAAATGAAGTGTGTGCGATTTCGATTTTAACGTCTTTTTAACAGCTTTTTAGTCATATCGCTACAATGTTTGCAATGTGGCAGTATAAAGTGATGTCTAGTAATGGGGTATCATTCCGTAGACATGTGGCATCATGTGCCAATTAGTCACAATATCCTGACTCCAGACCGACCAGTCCTAACACTATCCTCTTAATGCTCAGGGCCTTTCGAAGCAGCTGTTAATACCATTTTTATAAATCTTTGGTATGACTCGGCCGTGGTTCGAACCTGCGACCTCCAGCACCCGAGCCAGACGCTCTAACCACTAGGCCACCGGAGCAGTGCCAGGTCGAATACAATGAAAGTAACGATGTCGACAGCGACAAACAATTAAACCGACTACGGCAAAGATAAGGAAGAGTAATAGGATGATAGTGTATATATTATAATGGTCAAATTAAATTTTACGATGACGATGAAAGTGACAGAGACGACAGTAAAGACCAGTTACTTTGTGCCGCAGTTAAGTGGATAACCAACAAACTGCAGAGGAAGACGAAAATGAGGATGACTGTCTTCGACATATCTATAAATATTTTAATCGTGATAGGTCAAATTAAATAGTTTATGAAATTTTGATTTCCTTGTATTTATACAAACTGTCCCGGAACAGCTTTCCATAACAAGAATGATGATAAGATATTTTTTTTTCATGAAAAGGTTACATGCATCATTAACTGAAGAAAGCAGAGTGTCTGTGTCTTAAAAAAATATCTTCTCAAGTTATAATACATCATGGCATGCTATCAAACAAGATCGGTTTTTCCTCAAGCATATGCTAATTTCCTACTGACATAACGGATTCAAACAGAAACCGTACCTATGTCATTCATAGAACAAGGAACAAAACAAGCATATGACTAAACTGCCACAAATAAACATTTTGAATTTGACGTTATAAATCAACATTCTAGTCAAATATTGCAATGGATAAAATAAAGTTTAATGAGCCTGTTGAATTAATGTCAAGATTCTTGCAATGAAATTAACATATGATGGTAATTATTAATAAACATTTTGTACTCAGTGTAATGACTTTTAGCTCATTGTGTTTGTGGTTGTAAACAGTCAATGGCTGAGAAAATTATTAAGGTGATGAATTCTTACTTACAAAAGCAGTTATCTTCTGTTTATTTGGATAGAAAGCCAATCCAAATTTTAAAACTTTTTACCACAATCATTCTTAGTTTTCATGACTTTTAGAGTCCATCTTAATATGCGTTCGTTATACATTCGACTGTAACATCTCCACTCACCCCTCCCCTTTAATTTTGGTATGAGATTTATTCGGGATACAAATATAAAACAAGGTTTCTTTATCATATATATATATATATATATATATATATATATATATATATATATATATATATATATATATATATATATATATATATATATATATATATATATATATATATATATATATAACCATCATTTTTGTGTAGCGTTAGTAACCACTATAACTGAGTACATCACTCTATCTCCACCCACTCCCCTGATCGTTACCCAGGAGTTTTATTGTTCTATTGAAAAGAAAAATCTGTCACATCTATGATGCTTCCCGCTGTAATTGCATATATGGAGTTTTGGTTAGAAAACATGAAAAGGTCTTTGCAATTGCAGTTTTTTGTATATTTGACATTTAACTCCCTTTCCGTGACCCAAATATCTCAAGAGCCATGCATGGGTATAAAATTCCAGATGTTTTTGATGAAAGAATAAATATATGGTCAGGTGAGAATGAAACGTCAAGGTTAGATAGAGATAATATATCAGTGAAGCAAACTTCATTTATAACGCTGAATATATCCCGTCAGTAGATTTTGTTGTTGTTGTTGTTGTTGTTCTAGGGCTTAATGCCATTTTTTCAGCACACGATAGGCTATACATGGCGGCCAGTATAAATGGTGGAGGAAGAAACCGGGAAATCCGCGGAAAGAACCACCGACCCAACAGAAGCTACTGGCAAGGTTTCTCGCATATCTAAATTCTCCGAATCTTAGACTCGAACCTACGCAGAGGTGAGATGGCAGTGATCCGTAACGGAGAGCACTTTAGACCACTGGACCAATCAGGCCCCTCCCGTCAATAGACCAAGAGATCATAATAATGGATAGATAAACATCGCAACTTTGAACCTCTTTGATCAGAGGGACAAAGACACCGTGCTATTTAGATTAACTTACCCAAAATCCCATAAAATAAGTTTCTTTATCACATATCTATTCTTAAAAAAATATCGCTGGAAAAAAATATAAACTCTCTATCCGGGGTATTAACTTACTAAATTAACTATCCGTTAGAGAATTGAAAAATCTCATAAAATTGCAGAGGAACTCATGTCCCTTCAGTTTAAGGAACTCATATTTTAACCCCTGAATTTATATGGCCAAATTGTCTATACCTCCTAAACTCTGATACAATTTATAACATAATTACCTAGCGTACAAATGCTTTCTTAAAATTAAGAATATATTTCTTTATTATGATTATTGACCCATATAAACAGTACTATTTATGCTGTTGACACATGCATAATTCCTCCAATGTTAGAAAGTGTCACATATAATCCATGGAGAAGATTATTTCTTTTTGAGTTTGAAATTTAACCCAGTATAAACCTGACTCTACACGTAAATTGTCCCAAATCTAACAGAATCATGATTTGCTCATACAGCCTGGAAATGCATTCTTTAGTATTGGTTACATAGTCACATATACATTAAGGGAAAAGGAATAGCCCATTTGTTTGGGGCATGCTTTTTTTTCTTTGGGGCATGCTTTTTTTCTTTGGGGCATGCTTTTTTTCTTGGGGCATGCTTTTTTTCTTTGGGGCATGCTTTTTTTCTTTGGGGCATGCTTTTTTTCTTTGGGGCATGCTTTTTTCTTTGGGGCATGCTTTTTTTCTTTGGGGCATGCTTTTTTTCTTTGAGGCATGCTTTTTTTCTTTGGGGCATGCTTTTTTCTTTGGGGCATGCTTTTTTTCTTTGGGGCATGCTTTTTTTCTTTGGGGCATGCTTTTGAAACGATCTATGCTCTTATTATAGATATGCTGATGAAAAAAAGTTACACCTACTGATTAGCTATAATAGCACAATGTGAAGGACAGTATAGATAATTTGCCCAATTACTTAACATTGCAAGATTAATTAAACAAGGTAATGGCTGATATTTTGTGTATAATAACAGTATTGTTGGATCCATGTTGTTACAAATCACTGTGCTATTCATTGCAATGACATCAGAGCAATAAACAATAAATTCGCGCCCGTTATTAACAAAAGCTTCAAGGATAATATTGCATTATATCTGTGGCCACTATGAATACTAATCCACACTATGGAGTGAATATAGCATTGGCATGCAATCGTGAACATAAGCCTGAATAAGATATAAAAGAAACAACTGATTCGACTTTATAGCCCTTCTCTACAATAGCAAAATAGTAACATATAAAGAAAGTAGTTAAACTGGCAACACGTGCATAGGCCACTTGCTACCAGCATCTACCTAGGGAAAATGGGTGAAGAAACCAGATCTTCAGGAATATGCCTGAAGGAAGGGTAGTATTGACCCAAAAACCTTAAGCCAACACATTTTGGGACAATAGCTAATTAAAATAAACAGAGGAATCTAAAAAAGAAACTGAAATTCAAAATCCTAAAAACATTTTTAAAAATATAACTATGAATGTTGCAAAAATATATAACTCATAAAATATGAAATATGGAAATTTTTTCACTTCAACATCAGATTGAGTGGATAAATTTATAACAAACTATAGTCGAGGAATTAATGACAATGCCTGGCACGATATTGTTGCTTGTACGGGCTATTTACTGCACTTAAGATTCCTTCGCAACCAGGAATTTCATTAATACCTTCGGGATAACCAAGAACCGATCCCAGCGACGATTGTTCAATGTCAACCGCGAACGGTGCATATTTAATCGAGATGACAGCTGAGTATGGATATCATCATTGGTTGATTCAATATCTCATCTGACCTAAATTATTTTTTTTTTTAATTATAAAAACAACTGATATATAGATAAAATATCCCACGTATGTATGAGTTTAATATCAGAATGATTATTTATAGAAGTACATGTAACATGTTTATTTGCTTATGGGTCTAGGTTATTGGAATTTATCTACGATTTACCTGACATAGTTCAGTTATATATTATAATTTTAGTAACGCACGTTTTAATTATAACTAAGATTTTATTTTGCAAACGTTGAGAAGTTAATAGGAGGTTATTTCCATTATTTATATATAATTTTCCATTATGTATACAATTTATTTTTTAGAAATGATAATTATGACCTGAGGTATAGTAGAGGACTATATAATCTTGTCGCAAGAAAGATCATTCATTCGTGCCCTAATATCTGGGCAGAAACCCTTGTGTGCAGTATTTACTTTTGGAATTATTTAAATTATTTGGAATTGCAAATGTGCTCTGATAACATTCTTGGAAATAATGGACTTAAATGTATAAAAAATTTCAAATAAATATTCCTGCGTGGATTATATTATTGTGATATAACAAGATGGTATTTGCACATCACCACTCCATACGCCATCACATTCACACCAACACTTTCAGCTTTGGACTTAATTTGCTTTTCCACTAAAGTTTTTTTTTAACTTTTAGGACTTGTATCTATAATTTTAGTATTATTTGATTTTTAATTTGCATTACCGTAAGTTCTTTGTTTTCATGTTCACTTTATATTCTAGGGAAACAAATTATTTGTTGAAGTTTACAAAGCTTGTTGCTTTTCACTCTTTTCTGTTACTTATTTTAAAATCATAGACTCGTAACAAATAACATTGTTCCAGCGTGACTTTCCAAACAATTTCTATGGCAGATTAATTTACATGTCCCAATAATGATTTCTAATGATTAGTTTGATGTGTGAAGCTCCAACGAAGGTCACGAGGCTGTTTCTCCCACATGATCTGGTACATACGCGCAGATTCAAATACGTGCTAACCGTAGTGGATGTTGCCAGCAGCTCAAAGAAAGCAATAAGCAGATGACGTCCTCAGATCCAGCATGTGTCGGAGACGCGTTCAAACCAATGTATGCATGTGGACCGCTAACAGATGAATCCAGGTAAAGAAATTCTCGAAACTGCTGATATATTGATGGTGACACACAATTGTTGGGTGTGTCGTGATCATGTTGGAGTTCATTGCGATAAGATCATTGTAGAACGATTCAGCTACACATATGTAAAGTGATTACTTGGGCACCTGTGCGCACA